ATAAATCACCCAGACACAAACTTAGCAATGTGATATATGCAGTACAATAGAGTGAGACATGTGCAGATCTATAGATTGGAGAAATAAAACAACCACTTCACAAATGCATGGCACAACATAGGAGGACAAACTCACCAGGACAAGATTAGCAATCTATCTGGTGGATTCAGTAAGACCATTGGTTTGAAAGAGGGGTCAAAGAAGCCATCTATATTAAAATTGAGCAGCCCCCTCTCAATGCGGGGGGGGGGATATAACACCACCTATCTCTTATCTACAACAAAGTCCTTTCAGAAGTCTCAAGAAGCTTCCACATCCACTTGTTCTTTGATTCATGTGACCTGAGGATACAGATAAAACTCCAAGTGGTATCAATGATTCTTAGAGAGCTAATGACTGATCTTCAGAGTGCTAATGACCAGATAACTGCAAAGAATATAAATTCTTCCATTCTCCACCATTCAGTCAGAACAGAAGAAGCTTCTTGAGTGAGAAGTGAAACGTTTTCTAGAAAAAAAGTATAAAATCCAGTTGCTTTTTGAAAAGCATCTTTGGGACAACCATGACCTGGATGACTGATAACCTCCATAGATGTCTCCATCTACCATATCTATTTATCATCATTATAAATTTGGGTAATACAGTATATCAAGATATAAAGAATAGCAAAATAATGCAAAACATTATTTCTTCAAATATATATATACATATGTCTTTTTCCTGCCAAAGGTTCAAGGCGAAGCAGAAGAAAATGCAAATGTATACGGTGAGTTTTCCATTATACTGTCCTTTTCATACACTTAAGTTGTACTGCAATGGGATTGAAACATTTTATCAATCTCCAGGCTGATTTTTAAACTTCAATATTTAATTGCAGAAATAGGATGATATTTAATGGACATGAGTAGTCCAGAGATTGACACCATATGATAAAGAATGTTATGAGTTTGGCAAAATGCAAACTGGTTAGCTGGCTTTCTGGCATAAATAGGTTTGCCAGATCTGGGCTGCAAAAATCCAAATGACTGTTCCATTTGCTGCTATCTAGCGACTCTCCAGATTTTTGTAGCGGATATCCGAAATTGGTTCCTTCCAGTACGATACGGTACATCAGAAGAGGTAGTGAAAATCTGGTGTACCAGACCGGATCGATACTAATGGTGGCTTGGCCACACCCCCAAACCTTGGTCAGAAGCTTTTTTTTTAAGCCCTTTTTCTCTGCCAGTTCAAGCAAGGGAAAAGAGGTTTTAAAAACTAAGATAGAGAGGGGATGGAGGTGGGGAGAGAGGGAGGAAGGGGAAAAAATCACTTTTCAGCCGGGACTCAGCAAGGAGAAAAACAAATGCTGTCGCTTTAAATCGAAACTGAGCATGTCTGGCTGTGGAATTCTGGGACTTGAAGTCCACAAGTCTTAATGCTGCAAACTTTAAA